ATTTGAGTAAAAAAGTGGAATACACAAGTGAAAGTGAATAAAATATTTGGGTCTTTTTAGTGGGGAAAAAAAAGCAGGAGTGACCACTGTGTGTTTTTGCTGAACTACTAGTTTTTTTCTCCACAGTGGACATGATTTTGGATGTGGACTCAGCCAACGACCACCTCATCATCTCTGATGACCTGAGAAAGGTCCGTTGTGAGTGTTTCAGACACAACAGGGAGGAGCATGCTGAGAGGTTCAACCCTACCCTGTGTATCCTGAGCACCCCTCAGTTCACATCTGGTAGCCATTACTGGGAAGTGTGCGTGGACACAAGCAATGTCTGGGATGTCGGTGTTTGCAAAGCATCTGTGAACCAGCAAGGAGCAATCTCACTCTTCAGAGTTCAGCTTCTAACAGTGGGTCAGAGGGCAGGACCCTACCTCTGGGCCAGCACCAGGACTCTGACTCCTCTCTGGGTGGGCCCCCGGGTGCACCATGTGGGGATTTTCCTGGATATGGATATCGGGTCCTTTCCTTTTATAACCTTAGGGCTGGGTCCCATGTTTTTACATTCCCACCAAAATTTCTGCTCCTGAGCCACTGCGTCCATTTTTTGCTCGTGTAGATGTGACTTGTGATGATCAAGCATATCTGAATGTGTGTCCTGGGATGAATTAGACCATTTTCAATTCTGCAATTCAGAGTCATTTATATCTGCACTTGTGATGCATCTTTATTTTTAAGTGCTAGTGACTTATCTTGAAAATCCCATGTGACTGAAGTGTGGGTATGTCTGCTGCCTCCGGTGCATCGACTCCCTGCAGAAGGAGCCCAACAGGGAAGGTGTACTGTGCCCCTTCTGCCCTGGTCTCTCAGAAGAAGGACATCAGGCCCATCTCCCACCTGGGCAAGGCATATCAACCTTTAGACATACATCTAAAGGAAATGGGTTGTATGCTCATGACCAAAGCTGAGAAATTGCTGCTTGGTACCCTTACGGTAAAAAGTATAGAAGATAAATATTTGTTTTTCAATAAACTATGAATAGTGATTATATTGATTAGGAAATTATTCCATATCAGATATGAGGTAGCATCATGTTTTTAGAACTTGTGTGTACATTTCTGTTCCATTAAATATTTTAAGTTTGCAGATTAATTTGCAGGTGTTTTTCCTTTTTATTTCTATAAGATTAATTCAAAGTGTTATGAGGATATAAACTATATAATGATGTAAATGTGACCCACCAGATTGATTTATAAATGATCAAAATCCATAACCAATAAAAACAGGAAGGAAGCCGGGCTCAGTGGCTCAGCCTATAATCCCGCGCCTTTGGGAGGCTGAAGTGAGTGGATTGCCTGAGCCCACAGGTTCGAGACCCACCTGGGCAACTTGGCGAGACCTCATCTCTACAATAAATCAAAATTAGCTGGGCGTGGTAGCGCACACCTGTAGTTCCAGCGACTCGGAAGGCTGAGGCGGAAGAATCGCCAGAGCCCAGCAGGTCGAGGCTGCGGTGGCTGGGAGCGGACACTGTACTCCAGTTTGGGTGACAGAGTGAGACTCCAACTCAAAACAAAACAAAAAAAACCAGGAAGGAATGTGTGTGCATTTGTGTTCATTTTTTACCAGAAACTAGACACCACACATTATCTCAGATGCATGTTGAACATTCACCGGGGTAGACACATGTGGTCACAGACACACCACATGGACATTAAAACTGAAATAGTATGCACCCTGTTCTCTATGGCCAACAGAATTAAATTAGAAATTGACAACAAGAAATTCATAAAATAGTAAACCCTCACATGTATAAACATGACATGACCACTTGTAAAGAAATACAGATTAGAGGTGACATGATAGGAGTTGCAAAATAATCTGAGTTGAGTGAACTCCATTTCACAAGATGGGCAGATGCTACTGCAGCTCAGAGGAAAACTGACAGGAAAAAACACAAGGTGGGAGGGGGAAATTCCCTCATCAAGGCCTCAGCTCCAGCTGAGGAATTCAAGGACAAATTAAACAGAAGGAAGAAAGTAACTGCAGTGGCAATCAATAGAACTATAAATGTAAAAACATAATGTCAAGTTTAAAAGTTATGAAATGGTGTTCCAGGACCACTGTAGTGAATCTTTAGCTATAGTGAGACAGAGAGTGAGGGAGAATTAAGGGAATGAGGGAGGAGGGGGGAAATGTGCAGAGCGGAAGAGAGAGAGAGACAGAAGAGGGTGTGGAGAAGGAGAAAGATGGAGAAAGAGGGGAGGAGGGGTGACAGAGAGAGGTGGGGGAGAAGAGAGACAGAAAAAGAGACAGAGACCTGAAAATTAATCACAAAAGCGCAAGGGAGGGATCAGCAGTCATGGGGCACTGCTGGTGTTGGGGGGTGCAGGGTACTTAACATAAAGGTACCTGCTCCTAAATGAGGAGCAGTGAGGACCAGCTGGAGACCCAAACGTCACCTGCAGTAGATTATTAACCCTGACTGGTAAGCCACATCTCTACAATAATATTATTAATAAAATAAAAACATAAATTTAAAAATTTCATAGAATGAGGACATAAAGTAAATATTTTTGAACTTCTAGGCAATGTGTTTTATATAAAACGTTCTTACCAAATAATAAAAAAGGTCAAAAAAGATTAGTTTATAGACTGAAAAAGTTATGAGCTAAGGTAAATCCTGAGGAAAACCTTTTGTGTTTCTGTGTAGGCTATGTGCACGTTGTATATAGAGACTGAAGTATGTCCAGTGATGTCCTAGGCCCTCACACTTATTCACCACCCACTCCCTGACTCACCCAGACCAGCCTCCAGTCCCCAGGCCCCCTTTCATGGCAAATGCCCTGTTCAGGTGCACAATTCATCTTTATTCCATTTGCCATGTTTAGAGACACACATGCTCACCACTCTGCATGGTGGCCTACGGGACTCAGCAGAGTGACACACTGGGCAGGGCTGGACCCCAGGAGCAACTGTCTGCACTACGACATCCAGGGGTGTAGGAGGCACTGCCATCTAGGTCCAAGTTCACTCTATGATGTTCACACAGTGACCAAATGACCTCATGGTACACGTCCCAGAGTACATCACTGTCATTAAGTGATGCACGACTGTGCACGTGGAAGGACACATCATGTAACCTGTTGAGATCAGCTTTTCCACTCAGTGTGATCCAACCAAGCCACTGTGTGTAACAATAGTTCATTCCTTCTCATTGCCAAGTTGTGGTCCATGTTATGGATTGGATCACATTTTAATCTTTCACCCATTTGAGGACATTTGAGGTATTTCCAGTTTGGGGTCATTGCAAATAAAGCTACTTTGAAAATTTGTGTGCAGTCTCTTGTCTGATCAGTTTCTATTTCTCTGAGATAAAATGCCTAGAAGTACATTGCTAGACTGCATAGTAAGTGTATGTTCAATTTTATGGGAAACAAACTGTTTTAGGCATAGCTGTACCCACATTATCTTTTAAGCATTCCTCAAAGTTTTTTTCTGACATTATAAAATGTGATCTGTAGTTAGTGGTTTTTACAATTCAGGTCCACTGGTGAATATTGCTAGACTACCTGGGTTCCTGAATGCATTGCCAAAATTTTCCGTTGGGATAATAGAAATAGGACTGAGTTAGACCTTAGGTTTTTGGCTGAAGATTAGGAAAAGGAAGGTTGAAGGGAAGGGTGGGTTTCCATTTAACGTTCATGTAAAACATTTGAAAGAACTGGACTCAAGTTTGACTCCATAGCTTGAGATCCCAATTTGTCGAGGGAGCTGTAATTGGGATGCTGGTAGAGTGAGGTAGAGAATTGAAGGGAAAGGGACATGTGTGATTCAGGGTAGGGGCTGAGACCAGCAGGGTAAAACAGTCTTCAGAACAGCAGCTGTGGCGGTGAGACAGGCCATGATACTTAATAGCTTGTCCAGCTCCTGTTTTTATAACAAGATTATATTTGGGTCACTAAGAAACTCTAAAACCTACGCAACTTGAATAAATGCTCCCCCTCACCCCTGGGGCCATCCTGGACACAGTAGCTCCAAATGCTTAGAAATGGGGCATTGTAAATATTGTGTAGGGTTTGGAAAAATTATCAAAAGATGCCCAGTTTCACTCCCTCTTCTTAAGAAGGGATAAAAAGAAATGCTTTTTTTGAGATCACATAAATCTCACACTTTTCCTGCAGTTTAGGGGGAAGTAACCCTTACCCCATGGGACACTCTCATAAAATTGTTAGTGGGGATGGAGGGGAAGGGGAAGGGAACAAAAACTGGTTAAGCTGTATGTAGAGCAGGGTGAATGTTTTTTATTTTTATTTATTTTTACAATTTTTCCTCTACCCTCATTCTTATCATCATTAGTTGGAGTCTCTCTGTCACCCAGGCTAGAGTGCTGTGGCACACTTGTGGCCACCCCAGCATCAACCTTCTGGACTCCAGCGATCCTTCTGCCTCAGTCTTCCAAGTAGTCAGAACTACAGGCATGCAATAACATGTCCAGCTCATTTTTAAAATTTATTGTAGAGACGAGGTCTCGCCAAGTTGCCTGGGCTTGTCTCGAACCCACAGGCTCAGGCAATCCACTAGCCTTGGCTTCCCAATGTGCTGGCATTACAGAAAAAAGAGATTTAAGATGAGGGCTTTCTTTCAAGGGCTTCCTAGAGATAGCTTTTGATGACTCTCCCTAGACAAAAAACCCCAAAGGGATCATGGCTAATTCTGTCCAATTTGTTACTCCACAATGGTCATGGATAAAAAAAAAAAAATCATGCTTCACATTTTTTTTCTAATGCATTTTAACCTTTTATTACTTCATATAATCCTTTTAATACTCTTGTGAGACAGTGTAGGAATTTTATAAAGAAAGTGGTTGACTTGATCATAATCACAAAACTCAATTAAATGGGAAACCTTAATCGCAATTTTCCTGGACTGACATGGTGATAGCTTCTATTAAACACATTTTATGTAGAATATGGTTAAAGGACTTGCCCAGAAACTGTAGTTGATATTTATACAGTCATAACTCTTGTGGGAAATTTGAAAAATATTGAATACCAATGCAAATTAGGCTTCATTGAACCTGGCCTATCACCAATTTCTCTGCCTTCCTTTCCAGCCCAAGACTGAGATACAAAAAGCAGATTGGTGTTTTTTTCTCGTACAGCCTTCAGCAACCTTTGGGTTTCTGCACTCACATTACTTTCAGGAAGCCTGAAGAAATACAGACAGAAAATTCTGTTAATACTAGCTAATCAGTGTTATTCATCAGTGACATCATGACTTGGTTGCATCAGTGCCTAATTCCCCATGTGTCATCATCCTTTGGGCATTCTTGGGAGTTTCTCATGCCACCTCTATGGAAAAAAGAAAATCTGCTCTCAAGCAAAGTCCTAAGACAGAGATTTTTTTCCCCACCAAGTATTAAAGCCTAAGGCAAGAATTGCACTGGGAGAACTGTTTTCAGTAGTATCAGTATAACCATTGTAACTGCTCACTATTTTACATGCACATATCATTGCATCCTCATGACAGATGATGCCATTAATGACTCTATGGACACCAAGGCTGATGGTCAATGTTTTCAACCAAAATACGTTTAACATAGCCAGAGAATATAGGTGCCTGTGCTCACAGAGTTGGGTACAGCTTATCCAAATCAAGGAGGGGATTCATAGTCAATTTCTGTGTATTTTGTGCCCCCTATGTATGCAAGTTCCTAATTAGCAGGTAGGTACAAAAACATCTCTAACCTACAACATGCAAGGAAAAATATCCCTGCCACTGTAAGTCTTGATTCTAGTGGAAGCAGTTGGACAATAGACAGGATACATGAAGTGGTACTTTCAGAGATGAGGACAGCCCTCAAGGAAAATAAAGGTACATAAGTGATTTGGAAAGTTTGCAATTTTGGGGGTATTTCTTTATATCAGTAAGTTTGATTTCATATTCATATCATGAAAAAATATCATTAGAAAAGGAATAGGGAAAATAACTCATAGTAGGGTCCCAAGAACATTGAATCTGTGATCTTATATGCCTAATCCTGATTTATACACCACATCTTTAAAATAAATTTTTTAAAAAGAGATCTAAAATAAATATTCCCATTCTCCATTTGAGAAAATGGAAGGTAAGTGGGAAATGAATTTCCTTGCCTTTACTTGATCAATCGGTCAATCTATGATGTATATACTTTGTGTATAATTAAATGGTCAGTAACCCAAATGTTGCTTTCCTTTAAGAAAATAAGACAAGTAGAAATGGGATGCTAGATATTACCAGAAGTTTCTATCTAGGTGGACAAAATGGGAATGGAGATTGTGACAGGAGCTTCTAAGATGGCTTCCAATGATCTTCTCTTTGTTTTGGTCACACCCTTGTCACACACTTCCCTTGAGTATAGGTGGAACCTAAAATTTCCTTCAAATCAATAGGCAAAACTGATGCGAAGTCTCTTGCTTGAGGAGTTTACAAAATGATTGTGTCTGCCTTGCTAACAAACTCACTCTATTGCCTGGCAAAATCTGATGAAGAGAGTTGTGTTAGAAAGGTTCATTTGGCAAGGAAATTGGGGTCAGTGCCAGCCAACAGTCATCTCAGCGCTGAGACCCCCAACTCTACAGCCCTACAGGAACTGAATTTCACCAACAACCTCATGATCTGAGAAGCAGATGGATTTCTATCTATCCCAGTTACACCTTGAGATATGATCTCAGCCCTAGATGTCATCTTGGCTGTGGCCTCGCAAGAGATGCTGATAAGGACAACCAAATAAGCTGTGACTGGAGTCTTGAGACTCACATAGACTGTGAGATAGTATGTGTGGTTTAAGCCATACGTTGGTGGTAAGTTATGTGGCAAATAATAAGCTAATGGAGAAAGGAAGAGTTTTGTTTTTGTTTTCTTTATGAGAATAAATTTGATGTATTTGGAAATGCAAAATGGCAGACTGAGAACTGGCCATTTTCCTTCTCTTTATTCCCGCTTAGTGACAAAGTTTCACTCTGTTATCCAGGCTGGAATGCAGTGGCACAATCATGACTTACTTCAACCTCCAACTACTGGGCTCAAGTGACCCTCCTACCTCAGCCTCCTGAGTAGCTGGGACTACAGGTATGTGCCACCACTCCTGGCTATTTGTAAAATTATTTTTGTAGAGAAGAGGTCTCACTATGTTGCCTAGGTTGGTCTCAAACCCGTAGCCTCAAGCGATCCTCCTGCCTCAGCCTCTCAAAGTGCTGGAACTATAGGTATAAGCCACTTCACCTGGCTCATTTTTCTTTTCTAGTAGTGAAGGACATACCCAAACAAGAAAAACAATAGAAAATATTTAAATATAAAATATAGGATTATGTTTTTCTGTATCAAGTACAGCAGGCAATATCAATCATCAGTTTTTACTCACCAATGGCTACATACTTGGCTTTAAGAACTCAACATACCTTCTCAAGATCCCAGCAGGGAAGACCACTCTGCTCATTTTTTTTAGGTGTTGGAAACCGGCAATGGATTTCATCACCATCTCACAAGTCCTAGGACCATCTCAATACAGAATTTTCTCCATGACCAAGGAAAATAGCATCCAACTTACCCAATTTCTTCAAGCATGCAATCTGGGTGTCCCAAGCTCTCTAGGAGCTTTGCAATTCCTTCATCACCCAATTTATTGTTAAGCAGATTGAGTCTTTTCAGTGTTTTGTTGCTGATAAGAACATAGGCCAGTGACTCACAGCATGCACCCGTTAACATGTTCTCTTCCAGCCTGTAACGAGATGTGCAAGTAAAATGGGTCCCGATTCTTGGGGGCAAACAGCAGGCAGAGTAAACGCATGAGAACAGGATGTTTACAAACTACCTCCCTCACATGCTTTGGACAAAAGCATCTGGCATGCAACAGAGCACCATTTCAAACTCCAAGCTGTTATGCCTTATTTTTGTGTCCCAATACACTTCCTCTTGTACTTTCTATAGATTTTTTTTAATCATTTAAAAAATTTTATAGTAGATTCAGAGGATACACATGCATGTGCGTTACATGGACATGTTGGGTCTCAGGCACCCATTCTCCAGATAGTAAACATTGTGTTCAATAGGCAAATTTCTGGACCCTAAGCCCCTCCTCCCTTGCCTTCCCATTGGTGTCCCCAGTGTCTATTATTTCCATCTTTGTGACTATTTAGCTCCTGTCTATGTGTAAGATCATGTGGTGTTGAATTTTCTGTTTCTGACTTAGTTCATCTAGATTGTTGGTCCCCAGTTCCATCCATGTCCCTGCCAAGGACAGGACTCCATTCTTTTTTATGGCTGCTTAGTATTCCATGGTGTGGATGTACCATGATGCCTTCAGTTTTCCTATCCAGGAACCTACCCAATATTCTCCAACTTGCAGTTTGGGTGTCTCAAAGCGTGGCACAGCTGCTCCACTCCTGCATCGCCTATGTTATTGCTCCCAAGCTCCAGGCTCTTCAGGTTTTCATTACTAATAATAATCGAGGCAATATACTGACAGATTTCACCCGTAAAGAAACAACCACACAACCTACAAAAAACAAACACTAGAGTTATGATGTCCTGCCTCAAAAGTTTTGCATCACCAAGTGTCAAGTGCTCTTGGGTTCTGTCTCATGACCTTCATGAATGAGGGGCTCGTCACAGAGACAAGAGTGCAGTAGCATAATCATAGCTCACCACAGTCTTGACCTCATGGACTGAATAGCTGGGACTACAGGTACATGCTACAATGCCTGGTTATTTTATTTTTTATTATTTTTAGAGACTGAACCTTGCTATGTTGACTAGGCTAGTCTCAAATTCCCGGGCTCAAGCAATCCTCCTGCTTCAGTCTCCCAAATTCCTGTGGTTACAGGCTTAAGCCACTATGCCTGGCCTCATCTTTGTGATGCTGTAGAATTACCATAGGCAAACTCCTCCGAACATTTATCTTTCTGCCTTCCAGCACTCATGTCAAAACTCAACTGTATTTAGAAGATTAGTGTACTGTGGGGTTTTTTTTTTTAATCACAGAATTATGCTGAATGGTTCTTCCTTTCACTCAAATTAAGCAAATCCTTATCATTGTCTGTATTCTCCTGTGTGATCCACCATTTTGTTTTCCACATTAAAATTATGTACGCCCACAATCAGGCTTTCTCACCTTACCACGTTGGTCTTTCTGCCATGCTGTGAGCTCAATAGGATGCTTCTATGTTGCACCCCCACACTGCTATTCACTGTGCTTGGAAACCCCATGCAGGTGACCACCTGACTCAATCCTCAGTTCCTCCAATCTCGCTCAAATACTCCTTTGTCAACAATGTCACTCTGACTTGCTTTGCTTAGCAATGGGCACACTCCACCATCATCACTCTTGACTACACTCCCCACTCAAACTTAAATAAAAGGTGTTCATAGTGTTGCTTACTCTATGAGGCAGGGGTTGACAACCTTTTTTCGTAAAATGACATAATATCTTAGGCTTTATGGGCCACATACAGTCTCTGTCACAACAAGTCAAATTTGCCACTGTACCACAAAAACATTCAAAGATACCATGAACATGTATGGCTATGTTACAATAAAACTTTATTTATCAAAACAAGCAGAGGGCCAGATTTGGCCCTTGGGTGATGTAGTTTGCTGACCCCTGGCCTAACAAAACATTATTTTTGTCTTATTTATTTTCTATAACCCCTAGTACCAATTCAAGGTCCACTAATACATGGATATTTGTTTTGTTCATTGATGCATCCCTGCCACCTAGAACAGAGCCTGACATGTAATACATATTCAGTAATTATTTGTTGAATAATTAGATATCTAAACAGATCTCAGAAAATCCCATTTATTCTTCATTTAAACATTATGGAAGCTGGGCATGATGGAGCATGTCTGTAATACCAGCTATTCAAAGAGGTTGAAACAAGCTATTCAAAGAGGTTGAAACAGCTTGGGTCCAGGAATTTGAGACCAACCTGGGTAACATAGCAGGACCCTGTTTTTTAAATAACAAGTTATGGAACATTAGCAATGTGCCAACCACATCCACATGTTCAAACTTAGAAGAAAAGAAGGGGTAAAAAACAATGCAGGGAAGAAGTCCCTATCAAGGTTTAGGCAGGTAATAAACAAATGGATGGTTATATAGAAGGCTGACAAAAGTTGCGAATTTAGAGTTGACAGCACAATTCAGAAACTATAGTCTGTGAGCAAAATCAAGACAACTTTATGTTTCTGTAAATAACGCTGTATTGGAACACAGCCGCACCCATTTTTTCGATAAATTTGTTCATGCTCTCAAGACATGGAAAAGTTGAAAAATTATGACAGGAACCTTATGACCCACAAAGCCCCAAATATTGACATGGTCATCCCTGAGAATCATGCAAAGACTTACTCCAGCTCACGTAATGGACAGGTTGGAAGGAACAAGGGCAAACTCAAAGCCAGCATGCCACGATCTCGTAAGCAATTCACACTCAGGTCCAGATGGACCAGAGTCTTGCTGAACAAGAGGACTCTTCCGATGGGGTAGCAACAATCTGCGGTGAGACAGCAGAAGAGCAACCTACAGGGGTTCACAGATACGTCGGAAGGAAAGAGAGTCAATTGTGTAGTGTTACCCACTGGAGGAGGCATGTATGTGACCACCAACCCCAAAGCCACAAGCGCTTCTGTGCCTCTGTGGCCCCCCAGCCAGAGCCTCTGCCTGTGACTGTCCTCTTGGGAAAAGGAGATTGAAAAAGGCCTGGAAACAATGCAGAAGGTGAAAGACGGAATGGATGATATGGAATGGGGCATGAGAAAATTCAAATCATCCCTTCCACTCGCCGGATAATCTCCTAGGACTTCACTTCTGTGATGTGGTTTCTGTCATCGCTTGGTAGACGGTTGGTTAAGTTTAATCCAAAAAAAGTATTTCAGTTTACAATTTCTGCCCTGCTCAAAGAGTCACCTTGCTGCTCATAAGTGAATGTTGGAGTTGTTTTAAATGAGAAGAGAGGAAAATGGGAAGACAGCATCCACAGAGGAAGCTTGAGTCAACCCATTTTGGCCACCCCAGTTTTGCTTGTTCAGCTTAATTTGTTGCCAGTATGTGAACATTAGCTCCACTCTACTCTGAATTTTCATCACTATCTTTTAAGAAGTTGGAAATAGCCACGCTGTATCTTGTTCCCATGTGGGGAAAAGCAGACTGGGCCAGAGTTGGCAAAGGACAGGCAGCAGGCCAAACCCTGCTCTCAGCCTGATTTTTGTCAGCCCTGAGCTAGGAATGGTTTTTATACTCTTAAATGATAAAAAAAAATCTAAAAAAGGAGAACAAGGCAGCTAAACCTGTAATCTCAGCATTTTGGGAGGCTGAGGTAAAAGGATTGCTTGGGTCCAAGAGTTTGAGACCAGCCTGGGCAACACAGTGAGATCTCTTCTCTAGAAAACAATAAAAAATTCACCAGGCATAGTGGCTGGTGCCTATAGTCCCAGTTAATTGGGAGACTGAGGCAGGAGGATCTTCTGAGCCTAGGAGGTCAAGGCTACAGTGAACTATGCTCATGCCACTGTACTCCAGCCTGGGCAACAGGATGGCATGTCCCCTCACCAACTCTGAGAAAGAGTGAGAGAGATAGAGAGAAATCTCAATGTTTTGTTGGAATATAGCCATACACATTCATTTATTTGCTATCTACAGCATTTTCTTCCTGCAACAGGACAACTGAGGGGTCACCACAGTGACCAAGACTGTATAGCTCATGAAACCTAAAATATTACCATCCTGCTCTTTACAGAAAAACTTCGCCAAGTCCTGGGTCACATCCCTTCCCTTTAAACATGGCACGTGGGTCCTATTGGCTACAAGGGTCCACTCACCTTTTCATCCATCGACTATGTTTGCCTGGTCCCTGAAGGTCCTGCCTCTTCCCATCAAGTGATGTTGAAGAAATCCAAGGTAATCTTGACATCACTTCTGCTAACTTTTTAATGTATTTATTTAGACTGTTCTATGTATAGTTCTGGTTAGACCAGAATATCAGGAGACTGCATTTTAAATACAGCAATATAATTTTATAATGTTATATAAAATTTAAGATTTCAGTTGTTCTGAATACTAAACTGAATGACCCTATGAGATTTAATAAGCTGTTACCCTATTGCCAATATTTACATTCACATGTAATATTCATTAATGTTGTCATACATATGCGTTGTCAAGTTCTTCCATTTGTTTCTCAAGAGAGTATAGCAAGTCCCCTACGTATGAACCTTCAAGTGGCAAACCTTCAAAGATGCAAACATGTGTTCATGCACCCAATCACGTAAGTCAGTTCACATGTCTGGTGTACATTGACACATGCATGCAGCCTCTAAACGAGGTTGTGCTTTTGTGTACTTTACTGTATAGTACTACATAGAGCACAGCAGTATAGTATTATTTGCATGAAAAGTACTATAAACCTATTACAGAACAGCGCAGTATAGCCCATTGTGTTAGCTGAGCACTTAGGTTCACTCTGTTGCACTTATGAACGTGCTCTCAGAACAGAATTCTTTCTTATGTAGGGAACTCACTGTATTTCCTAGAGATAAAATATCTGGGTAAGAGTATAATATCACTCTTAAATTATAGAGCATTTAAAACACAAAGAGCTGGACAATACAACAGTGTGCCCCAAATACCTGTCATCCAGTCCTAAAAATGATCAATCTGTGGAGTGTGTTGTCTATTCTGTGTCTCACCCACTTCTCTCCAGCTACATTTTGAAACAAACACTAGACATCACATTTTGATCTGTAAATATTTCTGGATATATTTCTAAATGGTAAAATATATTTTTATATAATACTGTCATTACACCTAAAGTAATTTTAATATAGATTTAATCACTTAAGTTTTGTTCAATATTGAATTTGTGTGAGAAGAAATCAAATATCTGCTTTTATCTACTTTCAATGAATTCTAGATGAGGATTATAGATTTTTTTGTTTACTAATTAGAGTTCTCAAAATTTTAAGTATATTAATTGGGCTTTCTTTGACACAAGAAATATGGGCAATATTCTTATCTGTATAGCAACTTCTGATTAGCATTTAAAATTATGTATAAAAGCAAAAACTAAGAATAAGCAAATGGAATGCCCTGTAAAACTTTTTAGAAACCATCACTGTCAACTCCTTGGGTTATGATTTTCCAGCTATCAGATTTGGTCATGACCATAAACTTAACCTTTACCAGACCTTTCCCTCATGCTACTTTGATTTTTTCACTGCTTTTAGGCATAGAAATGCCTTACCTGACATGTACCTCACATCCCTATAATAATAATAATAAAAAGAATTAAGGATACCTTCTTTTATAATATACAATTAGTTCATATTGACAATCACTCATGGGAGGGGTGAAATATATCCTAGACCTATCTGAGATTTTAAAAGCAATTCTATACTTATGTAGCACAAATAGGAATTCATGATGTCACCCCACAATCAAATATGAATAGTTGTATAGAAAAACACAGAAATGAAAAATATAAAAAGACTTGTTCCAGTTTGGATTGTCATGTTTTGGAAACTAGTAAATTCTGGAAAAGAAAACAAAGAAAAAAACCTGCTTCATGCTTTGATCTTTCCAGGGTTTGAAACTACAGACAGGGGACTGTGTTCCTAAATACATCTGACTACTTATTCTGTCTTGTTTTCTGGACATTCTTGCAAATTCCCACCTTTTTTGTTTTTGTACCATTGTGCCTTCCTTTTTTCATTTTTTGGCCATGTTTCCCATGTCCCAACCATCTGAAATTGCTTTCCTAGCAATGTTTCCAGAGCAGAGAAAGACCAGGTTACATAACTAAAACGTGAAGTAAAGACACAAGAAGAGCCTACCACCCACCATCTTGAAAGAAGCAGAAGTTAGAAGAAAATGAATTCCTATTTCAAGGCAATCAAATGCCAAAATCCCCTTCCCTCCCTTGCCCTTCCTCCCATGTTCTTCATGATATCTATGCTGCATGATACCCAGGTTATGTGCTTGTGGTTCAAATAACCATATAGTTTCCCTGCTCTTATACAGCCAGTTACTGTAGCTCAGGGGCTGATTTTTTTTAGGAATCACCATAATACCCTATTTAACTCTCTTCATAAAGTCTTGAGTTTGGTAGTGTTGTGACCCCATTCTCCAAATTGGGAAATGCACATTGAAAAAAAATCTAAGCACATTTTTGCCAACATTGAGTTGCAAGTTTGTGGTCCATCCAGAATATTAACCCAGACCTAACTCCAAGGACTGGGTGATTTCAGCTGCTCTATGAGGATCAACAAGTTCATAAACTCATCCTAGAGAAAGTGCTCCAGGGCAATCCTCTTTGGGGTAACTCTCCCTCTTGGGAGTTTTTCTGTCTTCTTAGTAAACTTCTGATTTCTCACCCCCCCAAAAAAGTGCTCCATAAATGACTACTGAACATCACTGCAGTCACCTTTGATGTACTCCCCTTGGAAAGCTATACACTGACACCCGTGCCCAGTCCACCCATCAAACCAATTTTGGAACTCTTTCTGGAATGGTCATCAGAGCCATCATCATATTACCCTTGGTGCTCTGAATGTCAGTCAAAGGCTTTCCAATATTTCCTTTATCTTTAGGTAAAGAAAAATTCATTGGGGGCCAGATCAGGTGAGGAAGGAGGGTATTCCGATACAGTTATTTGTATAATGCAGTCAATGTAAGCACAGTGGCAAGTTTCCCAACTTGTTAGACCTCAACAATTACCATTCCAGAAAATGAATTCCAAAATTGCTCTGATGTGTGGACTAGGCAACTGGTGTTGGAGCTTAGCTTCCCAGGGGAGTACTTTGGGAGTGACTGTAGTGATATTCCCAATGAGGTATGCAGCACTTTTTCTAGGATGGTTCATGAACAGCATTATCAAACCCCATACTTGGTTTCACTTTCCTCCTCTCTTGAAGTCTGACTACATGCTCAGACATTACACTCAAGTCAGAACATCTTCATGGAAGGCGTTTCTTAGTTGACTCACACCAGCGAGTTGAGAGCGCACTCTGGCTGCAGCAAAGCATTACACAGTATTTTTACCCCATCGTGACTCAGGGGGTTGTTGGATAAGGTCAGTTTTCTCAGATTCTGGCTGTTGACAAGGAATGAGGCAATCTCTCCACACACAATAGGCTGCAGACCGCATTTCATCAAGCTGTAAGAGGAATTCATATTGATGAAAGGGGGCTGCCCAGTGTTCTAAGCTGACCCTCTTTTAAATAAAATCAGCGCCAACCAAGTAAGATGCCATCTACTTAAAACAGGAAATAAATGGTTCCCTCTACTTTTTTTTTTTAGTTGGAGTCTTGCTCTGCAGTCCGGGCTGGAGTGCAGTGGCACCATCACGGCTCACCACATCCTCCACCTCTTAGGCCCAGTAATCTTCCTGCCTCAGCCTCCTGAGCAGCTGGAACTAAAGACATGCACCATCATGCCTGGCTATTTTTTTTTTTTTGCAGGACAGGTCTCACTATGTGGCCCATGCTGGTCTCGAATTCCTGGGCTGAAGTAATCCTCTTGCCTCATCTTCCCAAAGTGCGGGGATTACAGGCATAAGCCACAGCACCCAGTCATAACTTTTTTAAAAAATTAGCTGGGCATACTGTTGCACACATGTAGTCCCAGCCACTGGAGAGGCTGAGGCAAGAGGATTGTTTGGGCTCAGGGGTTTAGGGCCACAGTGGGCTACGATCATGCCACTGTACTCCAGAGTGGGTGTCAGAGCAAGACCAGGTCTAAAAAACAAATAAATAAGTAGATAAAATGGACTTTTAAAACAAACTTTTCCAAGATAACTTCATGCTTTGCTGTCCCACTTCTCCAGCTCATCACTCGACATTCACTTCTTTAATGAGAACTTTGCTAACTGTCAGTCAATCAGCTAACAAATGGCATCCATTTTATTTCAGACATGGCACTAGGTTCCTGGGATTCAGCAGAGAACTGAAAGAAATATGAAATTCCAACACCATAAAAAAAGAAATGGATGTGTAATATGCCTTGTAGACACTCAGTTCTTTATAAAAAAAAAAAAGTAAGTTGCAGACAGAGGGAAGGCAGTGTTCTATTTCTGCATGAAACCATCGATGAGAGAAGTTCTAAGTAATAAGGCAGAATTTAGCAGAAGCCCATGAAATTTCAATCCCTCAGTCTCTGGGGGAAGAGAATCTCTGGCAGAGGAAATTAACACAAGTGTCTGACACAGGAGGCAGCTTGGTGTCATAAAGACCCGAGATAAGCATAGTCCAGCCACCACAGAGGACATGAACAGGAGATGTGCAGGAGACAGGCCAGAGGGTTAGGCAGGCCACCCATAACGAAATGATACCCTGTCTGGAATTAAAGGGGAAGCCATAGACGGTTTGAAGACTGAAGGACAGAAGAGTCTTAAGATTGAACTTAAACTGAAAACTGAATAAAAGGCATCCATCCACACTCTCTCTTCCATGTAGCAAGCAAAGGCGGGAACAAGAAAACACGTGGGGCAATGCTGAAATAGTTCCAGCCAGAGATGGCAGTGGGTTGACTGACCATGCTTACCAGCAGGGGACAAGGGAGGAGTCCAATGACTCTGTTCTAACGATATGTCTATTATTACGAGGGGGTCCAGAATTATCTTTTGAGGGTAGTCCCTTGTTGTGCAGGTTTCCCCACTAGGTAAGTGTTCTAGGAACCTGTTGGCATCCATGTAGCAGCGATTGTTGTCATAAGAGGCTGTGTTTAGCATTTGTGAATTTTTTTTAGATTGTTTCAATGAGTTTGCCCATTTCATGATGGGCATTACAAGCACACCTGCCCACACTGTGCTGAGTGTTCAGCCATTTTTGAACAAAAACCACATGTCCCCCATGCCCCACCCTCCCTTTTCATCTCATCTCGCCCTGGCAACTTTTTTCTTGTTTCAGGGATTTTAAAAAGTCCTCAAAAGGGAAGAGTTTTGCTGATGTGGAAGAGGGAAATTAAAAAACGGCAGAAACACTGAAAGGACATCAAAATTGAGTTCAAAACGGTTATGAGCAGTGGAAAAAGCATCTTGATAGATGTATTGCATCAAACAGAGAGGCCTTTGAAAGTGACTGTAGTTTTAACATGGAAGAATACATACACATTTTTTATAAATAAATTATGGGATTTTTTAGGGAACCCCTCATATATCTGAATCAAGCCATTAGAAAATTTGTATTTGAAATGCCTATTTAAATATCAAAGTAATTATGTTTAGAATTTTCCTAAGCAAGATTCTGAAACCAGAATCAATAAATATGTCTGTAAATATACACATGAGAGTCTTCTGCATATGGAGACCACTTCAAACCATAAATGACAATTCACAGGATGAGAAGATGTTGAGACGCTAGGAAACATCCCAGAGATCAGAGTTCAGGAAGATCAGAAACAAGTAAAGGAGACCAAGAGGGAGAAGTGAGGATCAGGGAAAACCAAAGCCCAAGTGAAATACGTGTTTCAGAATGGAGGTTGGGTGGGGCCAACCCAAAGTGGCAGTAGAGTTGGGGTTTAGCCAGGACAACATGATGGAAAGAAAGAAGGCTGAGTGAGATGACGTAAGGCAATGACCACAGAGGACCATGAAATTCAAACTGCATCAGAAGGAAAGTGAGGAAGGTGGAAAGGGAAAGCCAATGGGAAGTTGCTGGTACAATGGCTGAAGCCCCAGGAGAATTAAAAAGTGGTTGCGTGGTGGCTCATATCTGTCCAGGAGGATTGCTTGAGCCCAGGAGCTCAAGACCAGCTTGAGCAATGCAGTGAGATCTTGTCTCACAAAAATAAAAGTAAATAAAAGTGTGGTGGTGCACACTTGTAGTTCCAGCTACTTGGGACGCTGAAGCAGGAGGATCACCTGAGCCCAGGAGGTTGAGGCTGCAATGAACTGTGATCATGTCACTGCACTCCAACATAGGGGACAGAGTGAGATCTTGGACTCACCCCCCCAAAAAAAAGTGAATGCATGTGTTTACGAGGCAAAGTGGCTGGAGGAGACACAAAGTACTGTTGGAACACGATGTTGAAAATGAGAGCACAGATGAAATGTGGTTATTGTAAATAATGTGCAGGGCTGAGTTGTCCAGTATTGGAGTCACTGGCAAATACAGCTATCGACTACCAAAAGCTGGAGTAGCATGCCTGAGGCCCTGAATCCCTACTTTTTTAAGGTTTTCATTATCTTAAATTTAAAAGTTGATTCTCAAGTTACTGGAAGACTTAAGTATGTGTAGACCTCCTTTGGCATGTGAGTTTTTTTAAGAGATAAGTTCTCACTCTGTCACCCAGGCTGGAGTACAGTGGTGTGATCATAGCTAACTGCAGCCTCCAACTCTTGGACTCAAGTGATCCCTCAGCCTACCATGGTAGGTAGCTCAGCTTACCATGTAGCTAACTACCTATCTACCTATCTACCTATCTATCTCTCTATCTCTCTATCTACCTACCTACCTACCTACCTACCTACCTCTCTATCGAGATTGGGTCTTGCTATGTTTCCCAGAATGGGCTTGAACCCCTGGCTCCAAGCTCTCCTGCCTTGGCCTCCCAAAGTGTTGGCATTAAAGTATGAACTACTCTGCCCAGCCAAAAATTTTTTTCAGTTGTATGTTTTATAAAATCAAAATAGAAGTTAAATATTTCTAATGAAAATTTACCATCAGAATGGTAATGTTCTATGAGTATAAAATACACACTAGATTTTGAAGTCCTTATACAAAAAAATGTTAAATCTCAATCGTTTTTATATTAATTACATATTGCTATAATTGGATACTTTGTGTTATTATTAAAATTAATTTCACCTGCTTCCTTTTACTTTTTGATGTCCTTTTAAACTATTTTTGTTGCCTATATAATATTTTCATCAGAGAGTATTTCTCCAGGATGTGACCAGGGTAGTCTTTGCCTCAAAATGAGCAAATGAACTAGATCATTTAAAGATGTATAGGACAAGGGTGTGAGAAGCCAAGTTATACAGAAGATTGTTGTAGAAACTGAAATCAACCAAGATGACAGGAACAACAATGGTGAGAGAGAAACGAACCACATACTAAAAATCTTCAAGAAACAGGTGGCATCAAGGCTGGGAGTAGGCAGCATTATTTAACCAGCACCTCTTCTCTCCCCTCCACCTGGCCCCTCCCTCTCACACCCAAGCATTCAGCGGAGACTGACTCACCTCAGATGACGTATGCTGCACAATGGGTGGCTCAAGACCTCATGCAGAAGGGAAAACATCCTTAGGGAGATGGTCATACAGTTCAGGCTCAGACAGTGCAGATTCTGGTTATGAACCACGGCCTTAAACACGTCATCAAAATCTGACCCCGCTGAGAGGTATGACAACCTGCAGAAGAAGAAATTGTTCAAAACGTCCAGTGAAGGTCACACACAGAGTGTGAGCATCTTTCCTGTGGCTATTCCTGCCTACCCTCCTTCATTGTGGAACAGAGTCTGAGCACTCAATGTTTTCTCAACACTGCTCTCCATCTTAGGTTCCTAGTCAGCTCAAAGGACTTCTGCTAATTCCAAGATCAGGCTGTTGACTTTGAAGTCATCCTCTGGGTCTTATTTACAGGTTTACTTTTCTGACCTTTCTGTAAGCTGGGTCCATGAGTAGGACACTAAAAAAACACATGTCCACATGCAAAATTAAACGATGCTTTTCTATATGGTAGGAACAAAAGCCATAACACAAGGGGTGCCAGAAAACAAAGCAAAAACAAACAAAAAATCACATATACACATTTTAAGTATGACATTCACTCAAAAGATGGTGTTAATCAAATGAATGCTAGCATCACCAGGTGACAGCCAGGACAAAGAAAATTGTGGAAACACAGATGAGTAAATGTCATACTACACATTGCTACTGTAATTCAATCCTTCTTGGAAAAGTAATGCATAGATAAAATGTCCATACATTTTTTTGGCACCCCCTGTATGGTCATTATATCCACAGGATCTGGCACACATTAACAATTTGCAATTTTATGGAAAAATTAAAAGTGCTTCACAGTCATGGAGTGAACCACCACTATCACCCCCACTCCTCCACTCACCTGGAAAGAGAGTTTCCATGATATCCTTGAAAGTTGAAGCAAAACGAGGGAAACATGTTTGATCATTACCCCCTTAAGGGCCATATGGAGAGAAGATTTAGGAACCCACAATGAACAAGAGAGATGTGAAAGCGAGGCAAGAGAGATGTGAAAGGGAGGTAAGGGAGATGCAAGAGATGAGAGAGACATGAAAGAAAGATGAGAGAGACATGAATGCGAGCCCCTTGCTGTATACTGGGAATTTGTTTCTCCAGTTCAAAAGGTCAACCAAAGTTTTTATGTGGAAGGTTTGAGAAGGTCACATCACCATGTGTGGAAGAAACATCCCGAGTTGTGGCAAACAGGTGATTGGTCCTTCTACCACGACCACACACCTGCCCACCCCATGCTGAGTGTTCAGCAGTTTTAGACCAAAAGCAGCACGACCCCATGCCCCACCCTCCCTATTCACCTGAGCACACCCAAGCGACTTTTTCTGGTTTGTTTCTCCAGATGAGAAAAACCCTCAAAGGGAAATGTTTTGCTGATGTGGAAGAGGTGAAGCAATAAGAATAATAATAACAACAAAAAACGGCAGAAACAGAAAGGCAGCAGCATTGATGAATTCAAAAACCATTTTGAGCAGTGGGGAAAGTATCTCGAGAGGTGTTGCATCACATGGAGAGTGCTTGGAAGGTGATTGAAGGTAAACCATGTGAGAATAAATGCACAACTCTATAAATAAACTCCGCTTCTTTCTGGGCCCCCCTTGTATTTCCATAGCACACATGTAAACACTAACGGCACCGCACTTCACGTCTCTTTGGGAACATTCCACCCTGCCATTCAGATGCCTAACAGACCTCTCAATGTTACATCAACAGCCTTAGATGGACCTCCCTCAAATTCCAGCTCCAGTCCCACATCTTCCCAACCCAGTGGTGACTCTCACTGGGCTGCTTTTCCACCCAGAGATCCTGGGAACACTAGACTCCTCTCTCATATCCACTCAGCCCAGCCAAGAGCTTTTTTCTTGCTAGTACCCCTCAGAGACAGCCCCTCACCAGCCTCTGCTGCCCACACCCTCAGCAGATGCACCATGGAGTCTCACCCAGAAGGTGGAAACAGTCTCCTCAGAGCTCCCTGGTTCCACCCTGGCCCCTGTTGTCTTGATTTTTTTTTTAGTTGGGGTCTCCCTCTGTTGCCTAGGCTGGAGTGCACAATCACAGCTCAATTGCAGTCTCGGTCTCCTGGGCTCAGGCAATCCTTCCACCTCAGCCTCCTGAGTAGCTGGGACGACAGACACCAGGCCTGGCTAAGTTTTTCAATTTCTTTTTGTAGTGACAAGGTCTCACTATGTTACCCAGGCTGGTCTTGAACTCCTGGTTCAAGCAATCCACCCACTTTGGCCTCCTGAAGTGCTGGGATTTCAGACATGAGCTACTGTGTTCAGGCTGATCTGCTATTTTTAGCATGGTGTTCAGAATAAGTCTCTTAAAATGCAAGCATCTCTGCAGAAAACTCCTCACCTCACTCCAGAAAATCCAGTCCCAATGCTGGTTTACAATGCTATGATCTCACTGTGTACAACTGTGAGCTGTTTCCCCATACCTCCCCCCACACATTGGTCTAAGTATGTGGGCCTCTGAACACATCAAGCCTTTGGTCCACATATCCCCTCTTCCAGGGGATGACCAGTAGTTGTTTACTTAGCTCATGCCTCCACTGCATTTGAACCTCTGTTGAAATATCACATCCTCTGTGGAGGTTATTACCAGAGCCCCCATATTACCACCAGCTGCTCCCTTATACTGCTTTTCTTGCTATTCTTTTTACCCATAGCACTATTGCTGTAAACTATACTGTGAAATGCATGCACTTTTTATGTTTGCCAATTTCCCATCTTACTGGATAGACAGCAGAGAATTTCCTACCCCGCCCCCCACAGATATATCCCAAGGGCCTCAACTGGCACCTCAAATGAGGCAGAAAGAAGGCATTCTTTTTGAATGAAAGCAAAGCTAATCAGGTCAGGTGTGGTGGCTGACATCTGTCACCCCAGCATTTTGGAGGCCAAGGCAGGTGGCTCATTTGAGCCCAGGAGTTTAAGACCAGCCCAGACAGCATAGCGAGACCTCGTCTCTAGAAAAAATAATTTAAAAATTAACTGTGTGTGGTGGTGGATGCCTGGAGGCTGATGTGGGAGGCTCACTTGAACCCAGGAGGTCAAGGCTGCAGTAAGCTATAATTGTGCCACTGCACTCAGCCTGGCTGACAGAGCGAGACTCTAAAAAAAAAAGGAAATAAAGAAATAAAAAGAAAGTAAAGCTAACCACTGGACTGCCAGAACCCCAGGAACATTCTGCACCATTCGATGGGCTGACTGAATCATCAGCAGTGTTTCTTGTTGAGCTCCTCGAAATGGAGACAACTGTTCATTCTTCCAGTGACCCTGTTTGGGCAAGTGCAGCCATCCTTTCATCTGACTCTAATGCACTCCTGAGAAGGAAATTGCTCGACTCCAGCCCTGACCGTGTCTGCTCTCTTCCTTAGAAGAGCTCTACTTCTTACTCATGCCCACTGCTTCCAAGCACGGAGGCAATGTCCATGTCCCTTTGTCAGTTCTAGGAAACTGTGTGATGACAAGATGGACAGATCAGTGAGAGGCAAGCAGAAGTGACATGAGGAGGAGTTCTAGAAGCCTCCATCAGGATGTTCCCAGAGCCTAGAGATACACCTTTCCCACTTCCTCCTGTGGCTTCCTACCTTGAGGCAGCCATGATGGCTGGACCTTCAACAGCCCTTGTGACCAAGAGCTCTTGGTCACAGACACACTAAAGACGGATGAGAAGTACAGAAAAGTGAGCTATCGGCCATAGGCTTCCCACCTCAAGCCTTGTCGTAAACACAGAAAGTTAATCCTCGTTGGGTGCAGTGGCCCACACCTATAATCCCAGCACTTTGGGAGGCCAAGGTGGGAGGGCCACTTGCATCCAGGAGTGTGAGACCAGCCTCAGCAACATAAGACCACATCAGAGAAATGCCAATCAAAACCACATTGAGATACCACCTACCCCCAGTAAGATTGGCCGTCAATCACAATGCAAACAACAGCAGATGCTGGCGAGGATGCAGAGAAAATGGAATGCTTCTATACTGCTGGTGGGAATGCAAACTAGTGCAACCTCTTTGGAAGATGGTGTGGAGGTTTCTGAAAGAACTAAAAATTGACCTTCCATATGACCAGCAATTCCCCTATTGGGAATACACCCAGCGGAACTCAAATCATTCTACAAAAAAGATAGCTGCACACATATGTTGGTTGCAGCTCTATTCACAATAGCAAAAACATGGCACCAATCATGTTGCCCATTGAAGCTGGACTGGATTAAAAAAATGTACATATACACAATGAAATATTACGCAGCCATAAAGAAGGGCAAACATATGGGCTTCACAACAACTTGGATGGATTTGAAGTCGATCATATTGAGTGATCTATAACAGAAACAAAGAACAGAGTACTATATGTTCTCACTCATAAGCAGACCTTGAACAATTATAATACTATAAGAAAGCCATTGGCAGTAGTGGGAAACCATCAGGGGAGGGGGGCTGGGATTGGCAGTTGAGGGAAACTGCTAGGGGAGAGAGGGGTATACCTCATCAACAAGGGTACCTGCAAATCAATGTTTGTTTACCTAACCCTGAATTGTGCCCCACATCTTTATAATAAGTTAATTTTGAAAAAAAGAAAGACCCCATCTCTGCAAAAAATAAAATTTAAAAAATTAGCTGGATGTGAGCCTATAATCCCAGCTACTTGGGAGGCTGAGGCAGGAGGAAAACCTGAGCCCAGGAGGGTGAGGCTGCAGTGAGCCATGAATGTGCCACTGCACTCCAGCCTGGGTGACAGAGTGAGACACCAACTCAAAATTAGAAAGGATAAAGGAAAAGAAAAAAACTTAAGCCTCATGTGCTTCAACCCATCTTGTGGGGAGAGGTTTCCGGACATGGGGTTGTACAAAACCCAAAATGAGATCACTTCCTTTCACCTGAACAACTTGTGTTTCGTCAGTCCTGGAATCAATTGCCTTTTATGTTCTGAAATAACTACCCAGGACTTCAGGACTTCCCCACGCCCAGCAGCCCTTTACAGCATCACGTATGTTCCCCTGCCTTCATTCCTATTCCCTGAATTCCTTTTCATCGTGGGGATAAGTATTTCCTCACATATAGGCTTCCCCTAGAGCAGGAAAAGGAGATTGCTGCTACTCTTGGGGGAAATGCTAAGGTAGAGAACAACATGATACCTACGAGAGCATTTCAAGTTTACAGTCGGGGTGTCTCAGGGCCTTAGACAAAACTCTCTCTGAAGTGTCGTCAAGGTTGCTGTTGCAGATTTCTAGCTCCCGGAGTGTCTCCATCGTGTGAAGCAGAGAGCAGGTGTCTCTCCAGTAGAGCAGGCTCTTCATTTGACTGCAGGGAAGGAAAGTGGCATTCTCCAGTGGGAGTCATTCAACTCCAGCGATTTGAAAAACCATGCCTCTGGGAAGGTGTCTTTTGAGAGTGCCCGGTACCTGACTCAGACACAATACCAGGAAGGAAGAAAACAAACATGTCCAAGCATGGAAACAATATCCAGGTCCACCGCGGTAGCTGGTGCCTCTGTATTGGCCCAACATACCTGGGTCCTCAACTAGGGGCCATCTCGCCACCCAGGGTGGACACTGGGCAACATCTGAAGACGTGTTTTCCTGTCACCAGTGGGAAAAAGGGCATGCTACCGGCCAGGGCAGAGTCCCAGGGTGCTGCCAAACAGGGCGCCATGCACAATACAGCCCCCACCACAGAGTCCTTTGGCCCCAATGTCAACAATGCTGGGTTTTACTTAATTCATTTTATTATTAGTATTATTAGTATTACTTGTAGAGATGAGGTCTCACTAATTTGCCCAGGCTGGTCTCAAACACCTGAGCTCAAACAATCCTCCCACCTCAGCCCCCCTAAGTGCTGGGACGACAGGCGTGAGCCACCACACCTGGCCAAAAATGCTGAAATTTAACTCAGAAACCCTGAGGATGAGATGAAGCAGAAAGAGTTTTAGAATATTGGTCCAATTAGAACCAAGATTGGAATTCCAGTTCTGTGTAGCCTTGAGTTCATCTTGTCACGGTCAACAAGTTCTAGAATTGGGAATACTGCAAAAAGAAAAACAATTCTTTTTTAAAGACTCACCTAGGAGTTAGTTTCCCAGCAAACTCCTTGTCTCCAAAGATGTGAACACTCAGCTTAAGTTTCCGGAGAGAACAGCAGTGCTTCAGGCAGTATAACGACACCATCAGGTCTCTGTTGGCTTGGATATAAATGGTAGCCTCCGAGAAAAAGCCCATCATCTGGCTCACAAATTCTTCCTCCTGATTCTCAAACAGACAGTAAAACAAAGGCGTGTGGTGCTCCATGGCTTTTAGTTCATCACCCAATTGCTGCATTTGTGCCAGCAAGTACTCCTTGAAGCAAATTGCCATGGGGAGTTGACAGCCCAAGGACGTCTCCAGGACCTTTCTTCTCCTCTCATTAAGGAGGCCAAAAATGAAATTGATGATGGGTTCAAAGTCATTGTACTGATCCCTACTGTCTTTGTTCACTTTATTACCCGAGGGGAGGGGGCAATCAGCAACTGTCATCAGGTAGCCTATGGCCCCACAAAACTCCTGGATGTTCACATGGGCGAACTGGTAATGGTTTTCACAACTGTTGCTGGGCAAAAGAATATTCAGGGCCTGCAACATGCCGACGTCAGCCTCGGTAAGCCCAACAGTGCTGAGGTCTCCGACACTGAAATTCAGAGTGTTTTGAAACAGTCCTTCCACTGCCAGCACACCCAGGCGCTTTAGGAGAACAAGGGGGGACTGACCACTGGGAACTCCAGCCCCAGACGTCAATGCACGGGCAAGGAAATGGGCATAGATATCTGTGGGCATTTGGTAGGAGAGGGGGATGTTGTCCCCCATGTCCATCTGTTGGTTCAGCACCGAACACGTGATCCAACATAGAATGGGGACTCTGCAAAGACCCACAAGCACCTCATTCTCGTTGACAAACTTGAAGGCTGCTGCAGCCCTCTGGCTGTCCTTGAAAAATAAGTTGAAATATATTCGCCTCATTTCATCTGAGAGCTGCAGGAACACATTGCAATCTGTCGGCTTCATGAATGCTTTGAGGGCCTCCTCGCCAATGGGCCTTGATGTGAGGAGGAACCAGGAGCCTGGAGCCATTTTTCTCTGCAGCAAACTGGCCAGGAGAACCGGTACCGGGACCTGCTCTCTGCTGTCACTGCACAGAAAAGATTTTTCCGTGCTCACGGTGAAACTCATGTTGTCCAAGTCCTCAAGGATAAACAGGAGCCTCCGGGAGTCAGACAGGATGTCTGCAATCGGGGCCGGACCCTCGGACCAGTTCTTGGAGATCAGCTCTACCAAGCTACTGTGGGTCATCTGGTTCATTTCGTGAGCCGTGAGGTGAACCACGTAGGAGATCCTGCCCTTCCACATGTTTCCACTGTCACTGGCCCACTGAAACACCGCCATTTTGACAATCATGGATTTCCCAGCTGCTGCGTGTCCCGTCAGGAGTATATTAAGATTCTCTTTGGGGTAAGAGTCATGAGGATCAATTGCCAGTTGAAGAACATAGAAGACGTCCATGGCAACTTCACAGAAGAATTGATGATGGAATTCTTCCAAGGGGGATTTTTCCCACTGGAGCATGAATTTTTCCTTCATGAGCACTTTGTGCATCTTTTCACTACCTAAGCCAGTGAGTACAGGCAGAAGACAGAGCAAAGATACACATTTAAGATGTAAAAGCAATTTCACACTGTTTTCATAGTTACAGTAAATGTCAGTAACATAAAAATAAGAGCTTTTTAACTTAGTACCATTCATCACAGAGATACAGATATGAGGAAATCTGTTCATCCATACAACCGAACCAGCAGATCGATGGCTTAGTCATCCTTGAAGGACTTCCAATTGTCAGTTAACAATATATTGAATTATCTTGGCAACAAGGACTTAGTTCTTTTCTCTTTTGTGATTCTTCAGATTTTATACAAGGGGGGGACCCAAAAAACCTGAGAATTATCTTTTGGAGGATGGGTCGCCTGTAGGACAGGCTTCCCCCTCTAGATGAGTATCTAGGAACCCACAGCACCCATGGATCAGCATGCGTTGTTGTGAGAGACTGCACTCAGCTTCAGCAAAATTTTTTGGAGATTCTTTCAACACATTTGCCCATTGCATGGTGGGTGATTTACAGGAACAACCTGCCCACACCACACTGAGTGTTCAGCAGTTTTTGACCCAAAACAGCATGAACCCCATGCCCCACCCTCTCTATTCACCCAATCACACCCTGAGCAAATGTATTTTTTTTTTTTTTGGTTTCCCATGATGAAAAAGATTCTCAAAGGGAAATGTTTTACCAATGAGCAAGAGGTAAAACAAAAAAACAGCAGAAGCACCAAAAGGCATCAAAGTGAATGAGTTCAAGAATTGTTTTGAGTAGTAGAAAAAGCATCTTGATAGGTGTATTGCATCCACTGGGGAGTACCTTGAAGGTGACTAAAGTTTAAACATAGAAGAATAAATACACAATTTTTAATAAATAAATTCCAGAGTATTTTGGGCCCCTCTTATACAATAAAAAAAATCTAAATGCAGAGAACCAGAAAACCATGGTCCATGATCAAGAAAAAAAAATATTCTGAGAAATGTCTATATAGGCCCTTTGCTCATTTTTCTGATTGGGTTGTTTTCTTGCCATTGAACTGAGTAATGTAAATATTTTGAGCTTTAGCCCCTTATCAGACATATGGTTTGCAAATAGTTTCTCTCAATCCATGGGTTGTCTCTTTAGTAACTGTTTCCTTGGCTGTACAGAAGACATTTTAGTTTGATACACACACCCACAAATAAGTGCATGAGTGATAGATTTGTTAATTAGCTTGGGTTAGTCATACCACAATGTAAGCAAACATACAGAAAAGATCACACAATGCTCATACACATATACAATTGTCAATTAAAAATATATTTTAATGCCAGGCTTGGTGGCTCAGCCTGTAATCCCAGTGCTTTGGGAGGCTGAGGTGAGTGGATTGCCTGACCCCGTGGATTCAAGACCTGCCTGGGCAGGTGAGAACTCATCTCTACAATAAATCAAAAAATGAGCCATGTGTGGTAGCGTGCGCCTGTAGTTCCAGCTACTGGAAGGTTGAGGCAAAAGGATCACCGGAGCCCAGCAGGTCGAGGCTGCGGTGGCTGGGAGTGGCCACTGCACTCCAGTCTGGGCGACTGAGTGAGACTCCAACTCAAAAAAATATATATATTTTTAAAAAGGCCCATAGACACACAACCAGATGTAAACTAGCTTTTGAAATTAAGAGCTAAGGATTTTATGGTTAAATTTTACAATGAACATTATTTGTCATGCATAAAGAATATACATAAGAATCAGATGGAAGAATCAGATGGCAACTCTGAAGTAAATACACACTATTCGAGACACAATTCACTAGATGGATGAATAGATGGCACACAGCAGAAGAAAAGATTTGGTAGTCTCAACACAGATTAATAGATCTGTCCTACCTTAAGCACAGAGAAATAGTCACGAGACCAATTACACTATCAGGGATCAGCACTACAATATCAAAGGATATGGGTATAAAATCCATGGAATGGAGCCACAGGGAGATCTCACCGTCCATATGCTAGGATGAATATTATAAAAAAAGACAAAAGATAAGCGTTGGCAAGGATGTGGAAAGGAACCCTCTGTACACCGTTGGCAGGAATATACATTGACATAGCCATTATGGAAAACAGTACAAAAGTTCCTCAAAAAAGTTTAAAATACAAACACCATGTGGGCAAGTAATCTCATGTCCAAGGACACAGACAAAGGAAATGAAATCATTGTCTTGAAGAGACCTCTGCACTCACATGATCATGACAATATTATCCACAAGAGCAAAGACATGGAAACAACTCCAGTGCCCAATGACAGATGAATGAGCGAAGAGAATGTGAGATTCACATGCAATGGAATATTAATCAACCTTAATCAAGAAAGAAATCCCACCATTTTTGAAAACATAGATAAACCCGAAGGACATTATGCAAAGTCTAATAAGCCAGACACAGACAAATACTTCATGATTTCACTTATATGGAGAACCGAAGAAAAAGGTGAATACAAGACTGGGTGCAGTGGCTCATGCCTGTCATCCCAGCACCTTGGGAGGTGAGTGGGTGGGGGTTTGACTGCGCCCAGGAGTTTGAGACCAGGCTGGGTAACTCGGTGAGACCTCGCCTCTACAATAAATAAAAATAATAGCCGGGCATGGTGATATGCACCTGTAGTCCCAGCTACTTGGGAGGCTGAGGCAAAAGAATGGCCTGAGTCCAGGAGGTTGATGCTGCAGTGAGTCATGAGCGTGCCACTGCACTCCAGCCTGGGTGACAGAGTGAGACTCTGAGAAGGAAGGAGGGAAGGAAGGGGAGTGGAAGGGAGGGGATTCAGCAGGAGGAAAACATATGGGGAAAAAAAACTTTCAACATCTTTTGGATTTCTCCAAAAAGATTCAATGCCAGAAGGCATGGAAGCAATGTATACAATATTATAAGGAGTGACTGGTGAGTATTTTGTCCAGTCAAGTTTTTGTTTGTGTACAGACATTCAAGGCCCAGTGTGGTGGCTCACACCTGCAATCCCAGCACTTTGGGAAGCTGAGGTGGGAGGACCTCTTGTGCCCAGGGGTTTGAAACCAGCCTGGGCAACCCCATCTCTACAAAAAAAAATTTTTTTATTAGGCAGGCATGGTGGTACACACCTGAAGTTCTGCTACTCAGGAGACAGTAAGGATCACCTCAGTCCAGAGGTGAAGGCTGCAGTGAACCCTGACTGTGCCACCGAACTCCAGTCTGGGTGACACAGTGAGAACCCCAACTCAAAAAAAAAAAGACATTCAAGTAGTCTTAGCAAAATAGACATTAAGGATTCCCATGAATCCTTTTGGGGTTTAGATTGGGAGGCAGCAATGAAGTGTCCAGTTAACTAAGAGGATGAAATGGTTGCTGGGGACTCTGGGGACAGGGGTGTGCACAAGCTTTGTCCAGGTCTGGATACAGAAATGAGTCCAAACACAATGTGCATGATTGCCGTCAAAAGCCAATGAGAGGAACTTCGAGGACATAAAAGGTACATAACAATGGAAAGGAGGGAGGAGGCAAAGGGAACAAAGAAACCCATCTGTCATGGTGAGGCAGTATACAAGTGATCATCATACAGGTAAAGTCTGGGCCTTGCTTTGGTCCCCACATCACCTGGTTTGAGATCAGGCACCCCTATTGATGTTATGTGCTAAGGGAACATACCTCAAAATAGTAAGAGCCATCTGTGATAAACCCACAGTCAATGTATTGCTAAACAGCCAGAAACTGGAAGCATTTCCCCTGAAAACCAGAACCAGACAAGGCTGCCACTCTCATCCCTCCTGTTCAACATAGTATTGGAAGTCCTAGGGCAATCAGACAAGAGAATGAATCAGGGGTATCCAAATAGGAAAAGAGGAAGTCAAGTTATCCCTCTTTGCTGATGATATGATTCTATACCTCGAAAACCCAAGAGAATCTGTCAAAAACTTCCTTGCACTGATAAGGGACTTTGGCAAAGTCTCAGGGTACAACATAAACATGCAAAAGACAGTTGCATTCTTATACGCCAACAAGCAGAGAGGCAAATAAAAAGCACAATCCCATTCACAATAGCCACAAAAAATGAAACACCTCAGTATCTTCCTAACCAGAGAAGTGAATGATCTTTACAACGAGGACTAAAAAACACTGCTCAAAGAAGTCAAAAAATGACACAAACAAATGGAAAATATTCCATGCTCATGGCCTGGAAGAACCAACATACTATAATATTTTAACCAGGAAGACACAAAAGTTTCAGCAGCTTAGTATTTTATAACTTTTCTCCTCAATATTAGAAGAAACACTGAAGGTCCAGAACTCTACAGTCCAGTTTCTTCCATTTTATTTCATTTTACTTCTAAATTCGGACAGTCACATAAAAACATTTTCTTGAGAAGTCACTATGCTCCTACTAATAAGGACCTAACGGATGTTTAGGGTAAACTATTAACCCTAGTTACATCTTGAAGGTGTGGTTTTAAATGATGACTCTTTTAAAATAAATGTTATTGTGTGTATTTGAGGTTTATAACATGCCATTATGAGACACATATGGATAGTGAAATAGTCACACTAGCGGAGCAAATTAGCACATCTGTCATCTCACACAGCCACATTTCTGTGTGACAAGAGTAGTTAAAAGCTATGTATTTGACAAGAATCCCCATATCATACATTCGTGTGAACTCTTGTCCTCCTGCCATGTATCAGACCTCTAGACTTGCTCAGCCTACCTGTCTGCTACTTCCTTGGATTGATCCATTTCTGACACGTCCTTGTTTCTTGTTTTCTTACATAGTGAGTCTGTATAATTTCACATTCAAAAGGTCAGGGATGGTGGCTCACGCCTATAATCCCAGCACTTTGGGTGGTCGAGGTGGGAGGATTGTTTGGGCCCAGGAGTTTGACAACAGCATGGGCAACATAGCAAGCCCTTGTCTCTATCAAAAACAAAAAAAATAAAACAATAGCCAGGCATAGCAGTGCGTGCCTTTAGTCCCAGCTATTCCAGAGGCTGAGGCAGGAGGTTGTCTGAGTCCAGGAGGTTGAGGCTGTGGTGAGCCGTGATGGTGTCACTGCACTCCAGCCTGCACAACACAGTGAGATCCCTACTCAAAAAAAAAAAGCAAAAAGAAGCTTTGCCAGCGTTTCACCTGATTAAACACACCTGAGGTTGAGGTCTAGGCGACTCAAATGTCTATGGTCTGAGCCAAGGGGGAGTCTGAGAAGACACACACAGGGAGAGTTCTCGGGTTTTGTTTTTTTTCCCCACTACTGCCTATCTAGGAAGCTACTAGAATAAAGCGTCATTTCTGAGGCACTGGGCTGTTACCACGCACACTACAAGAGGCTTGTGACTTCACCCTCAGAAAAATAGCATGTACTGACCAGACCACATTGCAGAAGTGAGTGAGACTTTTCATAGGATAATATACATGCCAGGAGTTAGTGAGGTAGACACGACCCCCTGGACTCCTTGAGGGGAAAAGGCAGACCTCAACAGGACCTATTATTTGAAGCTTTATGTATTTTCATGTTTATTTATTTATTTTTTTAAGTCGAGGCCTCACTCTGGTGCCCAGGCTGAAGTGCAGTGGTATGATCACAACTCACTGCAGCCTTGACCTCCTGGGCTCAGACAATCCTCCCTCCTCCAGCTCCTGAGTACCTGGGACTACAGGCATGTGCCACCACTTCCGGCTAATTTTTAAATTTTTTGGCGGAGACAAGGTCTCACTATGTTGCCTGGTCTTGAGCTCCTGGGCTCAAGCAATTCTCCCGCCTTGGCCTCCCAAAGTGCTGGGATTACAAGCTTGAGCCACTGCACCCAGCCCGA